GCTATGCTATAGACGTGATATACACTGATTTTGAGAAAGTCTTCAACAAAGTGCCGCACAAAAGACTTCTGCATAAACTAAAAGTTTATGGTTTATACTGCTCACTGTTCAGATGGATATCAAACTGGTTGGCTAACCGAAAGCAAAGGGTTGTTGTTTGCAAAGCTGAATCTGAGAGGAAAGAGGTAATTTGTGGAGTGCCTCAGAGATTGGTGCTAGGACCAATGCTCTTCATCCTCTATATTATTAACCTACCTGACAACATAGCTCACCACATCAAAATATATACCGACAACAGCAAAATACTAGTTGTAATCAAAACAGAAGAAGACAAAGCATGTCATCGTCGCCACATCTGAAGGGAGACATCAAGGCTCTTGAAAGCATTCGAAAGCATGCAATGAAGCTGATCACAAACATCAAACATAAATCATATGAAGAAAGACTTACAATTCTAAGCCTAACCAAACTAGAAGATAGATGAATTAGAAATGATTTAATTCAGCAATATAAGATTGCGCATGATGTTGAGAAAATCGAATTTGTTGTGCCTCAAGTCTACACACTAACACTTTCCCAGTAAAACTTTCGTGGTAATAGCTTAAAACTTACTAAGCCGTTAGTCAAGAACTGTGTCAAAAGAGAAAAGTTCTTTACAAACCGCATAGCCAACACATGGAATGCTTTACCATCAAGCCTTGTTAACTCCTTTTCAACCGATGCATTCAAAAGTCAATTTGACGCACTAACAGTATAAGCATAGACACATTGTGTCCAATATTTGTCTGCATGGAGGTGCCTGGTGCTGCACCTCTTCATCAATATATTATAAACATGTTATTCTTCATGGACTAAAATTGTTATAAATATTATTGATTTTATATATATACATGCATATTTATACCCAGTATTAAAAAAAATATATAATTATAAATACAAGAATATTTATACATAATATTATAAATATTTGTATTATTAAAGTAATTATAACTAAAAAAAGAAAAATTTAAACAATACTTTATTGATAAGTAGATTTTGTGGTTTAAGATCTCTGTGTAAAATGTGCTTTTCATGACAAAATGATAAACCTTTTAACAGCTGATACATGAATGACTAATTTTTTGAAAATAAAGAAAATATATATATAGAAATGATTTTAAACATTTAAATATAAAAATACAAAATATAAAACATAATAAAAAAGTCTAATCTTAAAAATTTTTTTTGAAAACCTTAACAACATCCGGTTCAATTTCGCCTTGACAACTATCAAAATATTTCTTTAAGTCCTGAAAAAATATTTTATATATATATATATATATATATATATATATATATATATATATATATATACATATATATATATATATATATATATATATATATATATATATATATATATATATATATATATATATATATATATATATATATATATATATATATATATATATATACATACAGTAGTGGTCATCAAATTAAGGCAGAATTGCAGTTTTAATTAAGCAAGTCCAGTTTCTCTTTCATGAAATCGTATTATATGTACTATTAGTATTATAAAATATTCTAAAACATATCTAGCAGCATTACTTTTAAAATTTATCAACAAAAAGTCTCAAAATCTTAGTATTTCGTAGGGTAACCACGATTTTTCAATACAGCCTGTATACGAGAAGGCATACTTTTTACAAGCTTGTCACATTATTCTGGGGTAATTTCATTTACTCACACCTGCTTCAATACATCTTTTAAATGTTCCTCTAACATTGGACGATGTGCTGACACTTTAGCTTTCATTAAGTTCCAAAAATTTTCAATAACATTCAAATCAGGCAAATTTGAGGGCCAGTTCTTCAAAAGTTGCACATCGTTGCCATGAAACCACTTCTTGACTGATTTTGCAGTATGACAAACATAATTGTACCCTGAACCACGAAGCTGCTGGAAAGTACTTTTGTCACTAAACATCACAGTAGTCCACCACTCAGCAATTTTGTCCTTCATATCATGACAGAATTTCACACGTGCCTGAAGCTGCTTCTTGATGAGAAATGTCTTCTTTGCTGGTCTACGCGCATGCAGTTTAAATTCTGTAGACAGACGTCTGTGAACACTTCTGGCACTAATATTAATGCCTCTTTCCGCGGCCAATTGGGTAACTCGGGCAGAGGAAGTGTGAGGACTGGTTTGCACAATACTTTTCAGGTATCAATCATCATGTGGTGTAGTTTTGCAAACGCCGTTGCAATTTTGATGTCTAGAACTCCCATGCAATTTTATAACGTTTGTTACAGTGCATCTCGATATTTCTAGACGTTTACTAATGACAACTTGTGAGTACCCTTCACCATGCAAAGTTATGACTTGACCTTTAACAAAATTACTTAAATCTGCCTTTTTACCCATATTTACTGTATTTACTATTTACTTTAAAAAAGAACTTTAATAAGCTTTGATGACGCCTTTTAAACAAAGATATGCGAAAAATTTTAATTTGATTCATTTGATGACATTGACATATAATACTTTGCATATTTAAGAGGCACATTCAAAGTTATACTAAATTTATCCAAAAACCGTAAGGTGCCTTAATTCAATGGCCATTACTGTATGTATGTATATATATATATATATATATATATATATATATATATATATATATATATATATATATATATATATATATATATATATATATATATATATATATATATATATATACTTGTCAACTAGATGTATAGTAATGCTTTAATTTTTTAAACTTCTTCTAATATCATTCATATGTACATTTAATATGGTTCCTGACCATTAGGAGTGTTAAATTAAAATTATTATGTAAAAGTTTTTCATAAATGTAAAACACTATAAATATGAAAAAAAAAACCTTAAATGCATTCAAACTCTCTCCAATTCATCCTTTTACCCTGTTTATAGATTTATCAATTTGTCTGGAGTTTAAAAACACTTTATCTAAACTAACAGAAAAATAACCATGTCTAAGAATTTTTGTTTGAGGTCTCTTTGGGCAGCAGTTCACAAATACACTTGTTTTACAGTTATTTTTTCCTGACAGTTTTAAATCACTATTTTTATTTCTTCACTAAAACTCTATTTGTTTCTATTTTGTTACATACAAATTATTTTATTATAACAGGGTAAATAAAATACCATCTGTATGTGAAACAAATGCCTTTTTGAACTCTAAATGACTATTAAAAAAATACTAACCTGGTCACAATATTCAAAAACAATAGTTAACTTTTTGTCATTATGGATAACATCATAAAGCCTAAAAAATATATATTCATAATTTAATAAAAATCATAGCTATAAGCAAACATTGAGACTCAAAGTTAAAAAGCTAGACAGAAGCTTTGGAAAGCTAGACAGTTAAAAAGCTAGACAGAAAACTTGAAAACTCTAAATTCTATATGTCAAGAAAATATAATGATGGGAGAGAATTTCAAAGGATTGATGTTAGAGAAGTTAGTATTAGTAGAAAAAAAAAATTTCAACTTTACAATAATAGAACACAAGTTTAAGCTTCAACAACTACACTACATTTTTGGACTTTTCCTTAAAGGGCATCGTTAAAAGAGCAAGCCTTTCTGAGTTTTATTTGCAGTAATCATCCAGGTCATGTTCTAAAAATCAGGAAAACATTTTGCAAAACAAAATTGAGAAAAATCTGGAATTTTATCATTTCCCTTGTTTTAATTTAGCTTTAAACTGATTTCAGTTTAAAATTTAAAAACTTTTTTCTTAAACTTTATTTTTTATATGAGTAATGACTGAAGAAGTTAAAAAATAAATATATTAAAAAAACATATTTAAATTTGCATTTACCAAAAACTTTTTGGAAATCCATAAAACTTAAAGTCAAAAGAAATATCCATAATTATGGATGTATCAGAAAAAAAAACCTTGTTTATTTGTTAAAATTAATCAACTACTACTACAAGAGCCATAATGCAAGAACCATAGCATTAATTGTAATTAGTTAGCTGACTCTTTTCAGCTGTAATTACAGTGGTTAGTTAATTTCAACAAAGAAAACTAAAAATAGAAAAAGGATCACATTTAATTTGGGCTACTTGTTATAAGCATTTTAAAAAAAAAAAAATTTATCAATACTGAAATACTTCATTATCAGTAAATCAAGAATGAAGTATACAGTTGTATTATCAAAGATTTAAAGGAATCCCCAAAGGAATCCCCAAGTACCAAAACAAGTTGCATTCATATTAAAGAGAATGTTTTAAAAAAATGTTTGGGCTGAATTTTTTAGATTAAAACAAAATAAGAAACGTATACCAATAAAAACTAACTTTGTGATTTTAGTCGAAGCTACTTCAATTTAGTCAGATTTTTAGGTCTTTAAAATAAACGCATGTATTATTATTTTGTTTTTATAATTTAATGATAATGGCTAAAAATTGTGAAAAAGTATAGATGCAAAAAGGTGTAGTTGAAAAAAAAATTGATTATTATTATTTATTATTTTTTAATATTACATATCGCACCCGTTATAGAAAAGGGACGTATTTTTGCCAAAAATGAGAAATTTGGACAGTAAAAACTATGGAATATCACCCATGCTATCTAAAGTATTATGCTTCGATTATTTATAATTAATGAGTTATTAATAATTTTAACAATATCACATTCCGCAAGTAAAACAGCGGTAAAGTCCCATATGTCCATATTCTACAACGAAAAATGGTTGATTTCAAGGACTTATGTACATATAAATAAAAATAAAAATTAGCTCTATATATATTACAAAACTATATATATATGAACAATCATAATGCCTTTATTGATTGAAAAACTAAAAATAAATGGGTTACTTTTACAAATAAAAATGTAATTTTTTTACTTCTCCTGAAAAGTTTGCATTTTGGAGATACAATCCTTTTCTAAAATGGGTGCGATATATTTTAATACTGCATACATTAGTTTTAATACCTAATACATTACTTTTAACACCACATAAATTAATTTTAATACCGTGTACATTAGTTTACATTTTAAAAAATGTTGATTATTTTGTAATACCTGTGACGATATTTGTTGTCTTTATTTCAACACAACAAAGACTTTTTTTTTCAAGTGGCATAGTTTTATATCCACATTTTTACAATTGTTTGCCAAACATTTACACTATTGTTCAGCGCCAGCATTTACACTATTGTTCAGCGCCAAAATTTACACCATTGTCCAGCGCCAACATTTACATTATTGTTCAGCGCCAACATTTACACTATTGTTCAGCGCCAGCATTTACACTATTGTTTAACGCCAACATTTACATTATTGTTCAGCGCCAACATTTACATTATTGTTCAGCGCCAGCATTTACATTATTGTTCAGCGCCAACATTTACACTATTGTTCAGCACCAACATTTACACTATTGTTCAGTGCCAGCATTTACACTATTGTTCAATGCCAACATTTACACTATTGTTCAGCGCCAGCATTTACACTATTGTTCAGTGCCAACATTTACACTATTGTTCAGCGCCAACATTTACACTATTGTTCAAGGCAAGCATTTACACTATTGTTCAGTGCCAACATTTACACTATTGTTTAACGCCAACATTTACACTATTGTTCAGTGCCAACATTTACACTATTGTTCAACGCCAACATTCATACAATTTTAATTTGATGCTTTAATAATATCATAATATCAAGTTCAATTTTTTTTAGCTGATACCATTGTCAGCTATTTTGTTGTTTATTTCATCCATACAGGTTTTCTTCATCTTATTTTTAGAGGTTCCAATTGGTGTGGAGTTCCCAATATTTTAATAATTTAGTTATCAAAATCCAAATGAAATTATAACAAGATCACCTTTATATCAAATGAAATTATAACAAGATTACATTTATATCAAATGGAATTATAACAAGATCACCTTTATATCAATATCTAAATTATCAAATTTTATCAATTTAGACTAAATCGACATAATTACTATTATTTTCCAATTAAAAATTAAAATGTTATTCAATTATTTCTAATATTTTTATTTATTAAAATTAATTATTAATTAAAAATTTATAAACTTGTAAAATGTCATTTTGATAAAAAAACACAAATGTCTAGCCATAAATGACCTTGATAAAACTAGAAAAAAGCTCACACAATTTACATAAAAATTTAAATTTTTTTATTTGGTTCTTCAAAAAGCATTCTTCAAAACTTATCTTGTGCTCTATAAAAAAACATTCTTATATTTAGCATTCTTCAAAACTTATCTTGTGCTCTATAAAAAAACATTCTTATATTTAGTATTCTTCAAAACTTATCTTGTGCTCTATAAAAAAACATTCTTATATTTAGTATACTTCAAAACTTATTTTGTGCTCTATAAAAAAACATTCTTATATTTAGCATTCTTCAAAACTTATTTTGTGCTCTATAAAAAAACATTCTTATATTTAGTATTCTTCAAAACTTATTTTGTGCTCTATAAAAAAACATTCTTATATTTAGCATTCTTCAAAACTTATCTTGTGCTCTATAAAAAAACATTCTTATATTTAGCATTATATATAAGAAGCAAAAAACATATATATAATTTATATAAACTTATAAATATATCTAAGATATATAAAATTATTCTAACAAGTTTCACTAATAAAATCTAAAAACCAAAGGTACTAATTTATTTTTTAAGTGATTTGCTCATTGTATTGATTTTTTTTTTTAAACATTCTTTTTAATATGAACACAACTTGTCTTGGCACTTGGGGATTCCTTTGGGGATTCCTTTAAATCTTTATTACAACTGTCTACTTCATTCTTGATTTGCTGATAATGAAGTATTTCAGTCTTGATAAAAAGTTTTGATTGGTTAGAACATGTAACCCTAATTAAATGTGATTTCTTTTTCAATTTTTAGTTTTCTTTGTTAAAATTAACCACTGCAATAACAGCTAACAACAGTCACTGCAATAACAGCTAACAACAGTCACTGCAATAACAGCTAACAACAGTCACTGCAATAACAGCTAACAACAGTCACTGCAATAACAGCTAACAACAGTCACTGCAATAACAGCTAACAACAGTCACTGCAATAACAGCTAACAACAGTCACTGCAATAACAGCTAACAACAGTCACTGCAATAACAGCTAACAACAGTCACTGCAATAACAGCTAACAACAGTCACTGCAATAACAGCTAACAACAGTCACTGCAATAACAGCTAACAACAGTCACTGCAATAACAGCTAACAACAGTCACTGCAATAACAGCTAACAACAGTCACTGCAATAACAGCTAACAACAGTCACTGCAATAACAGCTAACAACAGTCACTGCAATAACAGCTAACAACAGTCACTACAATAACAGCTAACAACAGTCACTGCAATAACAGCTAACAACAGTCACTGCAATAACAGCTAACAACAGTCACTGCAATAACAGCTAACAACAGTCAGCTAACACGCTTCAACAGCGTAGATATTATACAATTATAGTTTAATAACTTACCTCACTATGTTTTTATGCTTCAGTTCTTTGAGGAGACAAATCTCTCTTAGAGCAGAACTTGGAATTCCCTAAATACATAATTTAAACTCAAAAAAATTACATAACTGCATTTAAAAGAAAACATCATCACATTTACATTAAATTTTAATCAAAAACTTTCACTTTCTTGACCTCATTGTGCCTAGTACTGTCTATCATTGCGACTAGTACTGTTTATCATTATGCCTAGTACTGCACCTGTTACCACTAGATGTATAAACCCTTTTAAATATTTCTACTTCTACAGCAATGGCAAACTTTAGTTTCTAATAAGTCATAGTTCTTTCAAGGTTGATATTTTCTCCTCTGAAATCTTTTGTTTCCTTTTTTATTTAAAGCTTTATTTATAGGATCTTTTATTTGAAGAAACTGTTTGAGCTTGGTTATTAATGAACTTTTTATGACATCAAACATCAACTGCAATGTCTTGCCGGCTTTTTTGTTACATACCATCTGTCTGCATGGATTTCTTGATATGGAGTTGTGTTAAACATTTGTTTTTTTTATTACATATCCTTGAAAATGATTTTTTGACCAAAGAGGATATCATTTTCATAATTTTTCTAAGATTTTTTATAACTTCTTGAAAATTTCGATGAGATCTACGATTTTAATGTTTTATTCTAGTTTTCAGATAACATTTGCATCTTTAAAATTATTTGTATTCAACTCATTGCTAATGTTTTGACAGACTGTGGCTACACTACAAATTAAATTAACAGACACATTAGTGGATCTAAAAAAAATATCTTCACTTCGTCATTTATTTTTATGCATATGTAGGTATTTAAAATTTGGTAGCCATTTTTAATATTTTTTGATATAAAAAACATGGATTTCTTAACACAGAGTTGTGTTAAACGTTATTTTTTTTTCTTTTTTTTTAAATTTAATTCTCAGATAAAACATTAGCGATTAAATAAGTTTGTTAATAAGTGACAAACTTATTTACAAATAAATAAGTTTGTCACTTATTATTTATTGTTATTATTATCTCAATTATTAGTTGGTATGCTACTAAAAAGAAAAAATTTTTCACTGTCACGACAAAAGCATTTTAGTTAAAATGAACATACATGTAAAGAAAAATTAATAAAATCCTTGTCTGGAAAAAAGTAAAATGCAATTTCTTTTTTCCAGACAAGGATTTTATGTATTTTTCTACCACATAACGAATGTTTTGAAGTTTAAATGTGTCGTTTTGATATTTAAATACATCATTTAGATGTTCAAATGCGTCAAGGTTGAAAATTTAATTCGAAAAAAATTAAAACATGTGCTATAAAGAGTATTTTAAATAATTGATATAACTGTGTATTTATAGGTTATGAACTAATTTAAAATATAACTTATTTGACATATTCTACATAAAAATACATGAAACATATAATTATTAAAACAATGTCCAAATCGCACAAATAAGTTTGTAAAGATTATAGAGAAAGAAAGAAAAATGAATTAAAAGAAATAGAAAATAAAGGAAGTAATATTCATTGTCAACAATCAATGACAGAGCAAGAATTGAAAAAAAAGGAACCTGCTAAACTACGACAGCGTAAACTCAGAGATCTTCAAAAAGCTCAAGGTATCATTGATATTCCTTGTTCTTCTTCTAGTCAAATGGAAGAAGTTGTCTATCATTAAAGTTTGTCAGACACTCTAGCTGTGAAGTGCGTTAAATTGGCTTTACCAAAGTTGCTACAAAAAGCATAATATGTCATTAAAAAATTAGCAATAGAAGCAAACATCTTTTTACCAGATATATCAAAGATAAAAAAAACGCATCTGTTTATCTTTTTATACATAATATATGTATAAAAAAAATTCTTTCTTTCTTAAGTCATTGCTAAATACCGATCTCTAGTTATTGTTAATATAAAAAGAGCTATGGAAAAGAAAACAAAAGAAATGTCCTAAACATCAATTCTTGATGAACAAAATTACAGTTTGGAATGAGGTGACTGAAAAAACAATCATTAACTGTTTTCACAAATAAAGCAATCTCAGCAAAAGCTTGGATGTTCATGATGATATAGACAACAATTAGAAGAGATAGAGTTTGATCTGAATCAAGTCCCTAAAAACCTTGATGCTGATGCACTTGTTGATTATTTATTAATTATTTTGTTAACAGACAACCATTTTCTATTAACAAAATAGTTGTGAATATATCACAACCTATGTCTATCACAACCAGATGTCTGCAGTAATGAGGGTTAAATTTTAGAATACAAACCCATTTCACTCCCAACCAAATGAAGTTGACTTGGCAATTGAAATTTTGAATAGATTAACATTGCTCACAACTGACTCTCTCTCTCTCTCTGTATGTATGTATGTATGTATGTATGTATGTATGTATGTATGTATGTATGTATGTATGTATGTATGTATGTATATATATATATATATATGTATATATATATATATATATATATATATATATATATATATATATATATATATATATATGTATATATATGTATATATATATGTATATATATATATATATATATTTATATATGTATATATATATATATATATATATACATATATATATATATATATATATATATATATATATATATATATATATATATATATATATATATATATATATATATATATACACATATATATATATATATATATATATATATATATATATATATATATATATATATATATATATATATATATATATATATATATATATATATATACAAATGGGCTAAAAAATTGGTTTTTAATTACATTGAAAATAAATAACTTCGACATGTTTTTATATTAGCAATTTAAAAAAAATAGCTAATGATGTTAATTAAAGTATCATTGAAAGTTGCATAAATTTTAATTCATTTTATTTTAGTATTAATTATATAAGATTTTTTTATAAGTAAAATAAAATAAAGTAATACAAAAAAAAATTTATTTTATAAGTGACGACTTTAAACAGCAATAACTTTAAAATGACGACTTTAAACAGCTTTAAAAAACTTTATATAAAAATCAAGTCTTCCCAGGAAAGGTGTGCGGTTTTTCGTCTTGTATGACCACACACGATTATAATATTTTAAAAAACCTGAACACGGCCGTTTGCAAGTTTTATAATAATGCTGAAAAAGTTTCAAAAACAAAAAAACAAAACTAACAAAATAAAAAGAGATTGAAATAAAAAAAAATAAAAACAAATTAATAATTTAAATAATTTGTGTACTGTTTTTATTTTTGTTTCTTTAGAGTTACATTCAGCAACAAAATTAGATAAGGCAAAGCAAAAAAAAAAAAACAGTTTTAAGTCTACAATAAAAAGAATGATTTTCTTTTTCTTAATTTTTTTTAAGAGGATAGCAAAAATACAAATTGCAATGTGCTTGTAAAATTTATTTGTATAATTTTAGTGTAACAACAAGGGTTGAATTAAGCGAATGCAAAACGTAAAATCTGGAAAAATATCTAGTATTCAAAATTTTAGTTTATACAAAACCATGTTCCTTGTTTTTAAAAGGAGAATCAACTTAAATTTGTTATGGAAAAAATAAAAAATAAAACAATAAACTTACGATTACAAAAGTAATAACACTCTAGTCACTAACTGTATTACAAAAGTAATAACACTATAATAGTGTTATTACTTTTATAACGCACTTATAACTTTTAAAATTCATTTTTTGTTCAAGCAACATTAGTATTCCCAAATTTTAATTGAAGTAGCAGGCTTGGTCGGGAAGCAGGAGCGATCGCTCTCGAATACTGACCACGGAAATTATATTTAGTTGCGTAAAACTGGCCAGGTTTTTTAGTCATTTAAGTTTATTTATGAAACAAAAAATTTTTGTTTTACGGACATACATGGAAACATCAAAAACTTGAATGTTCCCAAAACATCATTGTGCGAAAGAATAAAAAGAATATTTGCGAGCACTAAAAACCCGCCAAATTAACAAACTAATTCTATTAGTTCAAAAAATACGCTGATTAAGCGAAATAAAGTTCTAGAGTATTCTGTTAAAATGTTTCAGAAATTGTATTATACACGATTTGTTACGTTTTGAGATTTCTAGAATTGTTTTAAGAATATATATTATTTGTTTACAAAAATAAATGTTTTAAATTTATATTAATTAAATTGTTAAAATTTTAAAAGTTTATTATAAATTATAGATTTTATTAGTATATTCTTATTTTTTATTTAAAAAGTATGTAATCTTTATGTAAATGTAATTTTGTGTATCTTTTTTTTATCGTAATGTATCTTTTAAAGCAATTTTTATGATTTAAATAAAGTCTTACAAAAATAATTGCGTTTTCAATGAAGATATAATCGTTAAAGTTAATAAAACTAATTATGTAACAAACATATAAGAAGTTTCTGGTTACTAAACACAAACAACCCATCCAAAGTAACTCGCGGATGAACAAGCACCGCGCCTGAGGTCACGACAGAACACAAATATATAGCAAATAATTAGATATAAAGAAAAGTTTCTAGATATTGGTTTATTAACTCTAATTATTTTCGCTTAAGTTGCTATTCCTAAAACTCGTTATACTTTTTTCTGCTTTAAATACTAATTAAAATTAAAAAGCCCACTCACTAAACATCATCAGCGATATTGTGAAGCAGTTTCGCTTCCTTGTCATAAAGTATTTTTAACCTTTTTAGTTGATTTCTATCTTGATAATTTAATTTCTATAGTAATTTAATGATTTAATTATTTCATTTGTTTATCTTACTAAGAAGAATTGCTTCAAATATGTTAAACTTCTCAAACTACGCGAAACATATAATAGGTATTAAAAAAATTAACTTTTTTATTTATAAAATAAATTAAGCTCAAGTAAAACTAAAACTTGCAAACTTAGTTAAATAAAGGATATTTGTTTCTTTTTTAAACAATCGTAAGATGTTACTTTATATAAAAAACATCGCTTAATTTTATAAAAAAATTATAAAAGAGCGATGTTTCGAAAATATTTGTTATAAATGTAATTTATTTAGCTTTAAGTTTTTTCGCGTTTAAAGATA